AACGATAGTAGATCAAAGCAATCAAACAAGGGTATGAACTTTTCTGTCAATTTCGGCATTTGCATAAAGAAAAAGCCTTGAAAAACATGAAGCCAAGACGCTTAGCGGGAATGACAAAAGCTGGCAAGATACCAAACAGCTTGGAGAGATGAACATGTTTAGCCAAATGTTAGCTGCGTTTTAAAAGTAGACACAATATAACAAATAAGCGCACGAGTTAGGTTAAATAAACTTTAGATGACTTTAGAGGTAGATGAAATTGTTTTTATGGCCGCATTAAAACAAAAGATAAAAGAAACAAGTATTATTCCCCAGAGCGTGATTTGATTAAATTATGGATAGCCAATCCGTCGCACGCGTACCACAGAGAGGCACGGCAGGAATTTAACAGTGGGATGTGAAGACTTATTTATAAATTAGACTTTTAAATGTCACATTAAGTTTATAATTATTTAAAATTAAATGCTCTCAGTTGCACCTTTTTTTATATAAAGAGAGAGACCGCTCTGTTGAAAGTGTGGCACTCATCATAACTATTTGATTTCAGGTTTCGTGGCCATCTTCCCTAAAAGATGTGCTACCCCCGGATTAAATCTTCACAGTTAACTGCCACAGCAAGGAAACTACAAACACTCGAGAAAAAATAGAAAAAAGAATCCCTGATTTTATCGAATTACCCTGATTTTTGTAACTTGTAGCAAACATTTAATTTCCAACTATTAATTCAAACTATTAATTTCATTTTTAGTTATGCCTCATTCTTAAATATACTACAAAACACTTACATTTTGGAGTTTGAAACAAACAATTTTTTTTAAAAAATAATTATAATAAGGCCAATTTTTTTGGGAAAAAATATTGAATTGTTGGATACCTCGAGCTCGAATTGTCCCTGGTTTTTAGGTACTTAATTGAAATTCCCTGATTTTTGCAAATTGATAAAATTCCTTGATGTTTCCTTGTTCTCCCTGATTTCCTTGTTCTGAAACCACCGTATATAACTTGAATATATAAATGAAAAGCATAGTTGTCTCTAAAGATGATAGATGTCCCTAACTTGAATATGTAACTTAGCATATTCAAGTCAATTATAAAAATTTAAAAAAACAACGGTATTTTCATCATTTTTCAGGAATATTTTAAGATTTTTAAGAAAAAGAAATGTTAATGAATAATAAAATAAATAAAATTATAATAAATTATTTTTCAAATTTAAAATGAACTTATTAATAGAGCCATTTAATGCTAACGACTTTCAGAATTTATAATTTTTTTAAACAGGTTTTTTAATAAATATGAATAACATGGTTTTTCTGTACTTACATTCGGTACTAAGGTATTTAAGATATAAATACATATTTATAAAGTATTTTTGTCTATAATATCAATTATTCGTATGCGTCACGTGCAGGAGAAACCATTGGAATTGTTCAAACGTCTTTTCTTCTTTCCCTATAAATAAAGGTTTATTTTCTCCCATCAGCTTTGTTCAAAAATAATTCGTTCGTTTAGATAAAAACTAAATAATATCCATCGATGAACATAATCTTAAATAAATGCGTAGTTCGATTCAGATCGAAAACATGAAACTGAATTCAACAACAACGAATGTGCATTTCTTTCTCTGTCACCACTCATAAATTCCGAAAATGGTTTGTTTTTAGGGGAAGGCAGACAAAATTAATTTCATTTAATAAATGTATTAATCAAAAAGTTTAACAAAAATAGCAAAAAAATGGCAACGTTATTTAAATGATGGTACAACAGCTTAAAAAAGGCTGAACTTAAAACACCGGATGCCAATATAAAAACATACTAGATACAATAATAATAATGCAATGCCATATTTTTAATTTAACTATTGTCTAACAGGTTTAAATGCCTCATTTCTTCCTGTGATAACTTTACCTCCAAGATCGCCATTTTATCACGTGTAACCCAGGTGTCTGTTTCCCACACAACATCCAGACATTAAAAAAGATCCGGGTCGTTAAACTTCATAAAGTGGAAAATAATTTTTAAAGTGGCTTTTCTGATGAATTAAAAAGGGACTTTTTATTAAAATTGTAGCAGGTTCGCAAATATACGTACTGAATAAAACGTGAAAAGTCTCACAAATCCGGCACCCTATTCTCGGGCCTCATGCTAAGATTCTCCGAAGAAAAAAGTATTATTGTACAGCTACTGAACTGAAGACCAAGATTTGACTGAAAAGACAGTTCTGTTTTAAGCAAAGACTGAAAACTATCATTTTAATTTTACCTATACGCAGTTAAACAAGCGTTTAATATACCGAGAAGGTAGATACTAAGACAATTCGCTCGTATAACTAGACAAGCAACATTAAAAACTAAAAATGTACAAAAATTAACTTCATTTAAAAAAGGGTTACAGTTCATTAGTTATTTCAACTGAATTTAATACCTTTCTGAATTTTATGAATTTCATGCCGTCAACATGCCTGGCAATACCTAATGATTCCATTTTTTTTTTTTAAAAAAAGCGCATTCTAGACAAACTAACTCTATATCTTAAGAAGTGTATGTTGGTGATTTGATTTTCTGCTCAATTACTGCCACATTGTGCTTTTTACAAACGCTGAAATTCATAGTGACCGGTTCTATACAGGCTTGCTCAATACTTAAATATAATCTGAAGTAACATCTCAACTGGTTTTAACAAAACATCACTGGTTTCAACAAATAACACTGGTTTTAACAAAATATCATTTACCTGGTGACATGCCAGGTAAATGATATTTTGTTAAAACCAGTGTAAAATCATTTTAAAAAAGCTAAGGGTATTAATTAAACTTCAAACAAAAATTCATAATTTAATTGTATGATTTTACCTTTCTGTTGCAGCAGTTAACAATAAATTGTGGAATTTGCTGAGAATCACCCATATACTCTACATTGTGCAAGAATTTGCACTATTATAAATCCACAGTGACTTTCAAGTTATTTTATCTTAAACTAAATAAAAATAATTGCATATTATAATATCTTCTACTGCTCAGAACATATATTCCGCATTGTACGAGAATCCTCACCATTATAAATCCACTGTGAATTAAAGTTATTTTATTATGATATTTTTCTACTGCTCGGAATATATATTCCACATTATACGAGAATCCTCACCATTATAAATCCACTGCGAATTAAAGTCATTTTATTATGATATTTTTATACTGCTCGGAACTTATATTCCGCATTGTACGAGAATCCTCACCATTATAAATCCACTGTGAATTAAAGTTATTTTATCATAATATTTTTCTACTGCTCAGAACATATATTCCGCATTGTACGAGAATCCTCACCATTATAAATCCACTGTGAATTAAACTTATTTTATTATGATATTTTTCTACTGGTCAGAACATACACTCCGCATCGTGCGAGAATCTGCACTATTATAAATCCACAGTGACATTAAAATTATTTTATCTTAAATCAATTAAAACTATTTGCATATTATATTTCCCACAGCTCGGAACATATAACGCGAGTCCGCACTATTGTAATTCCACAGCGATTTAAGAATATTTCATTTTAAAGCAATTAAAATAAATAACTTAGGAACTTGGAAACTTTTGATGTTAGATTTGAAGTAATGTTAGAACTATTTTATTTCAAAACAACATCAAAGCTCATTTCCATACAGACAAGTTGTTGAAAGCGCAGGTGTTAGTTGAGGTCAATCATAAAACTCATTCTTTGTAGTCTTTGTCACCTGCTAGATTCAGAGGGTGTTTGAGCTCTACTCAAAACAGAGCGAATAGAATTTTTTTTTCTTTATATTACCTTGTTTTGTTTTGTAATTATATGTAACATTAAACCAAATTTTTAAAACATAAGAAAATTTTGGTTTGCATAAACCTAAATATTGTATTTGTCAAGTTCAATTACTTTTATATAATAAATTTTTAAGAAATCTTTTAAATTTAATTTAAACTTGGACCAAAATTTTTAAGTTACAGATCCCCTCGGACAGAAGAGTGAAATTTCTTAATTTCTATCCCTGGTAAAACTTTAAAAAAAAAAAAAAAAAAAAGGTGCCTCTAAAGTGGCACTTTTTCTTTGTCCATTCTATTAAATGACTGCTATAATCTATTGAAATCTACTATAATCTATCTCCTACAAGTCAACTATCTCAAGAATGAATTACAATCATTGATTACAAGTCCCACGAAATCACATGCAAGTTACTTGAAGAAAAAAAAATAATCATAAAGATAAGTCTATCCGCAGATAAAATTTTTACCTATACTGTTTTGTAAATAATAGTATTTTAACCTAACACATGTTTATTACCCGTGGGAAAAAAAACAGTTCATCGGTTAAATATAGAAAGTTAGAAGAGAAGAAACAATGAATAAATTGATGAATCATTCAAGTTACGAGACATGAACAATAATTCTTTTTTTAATAGTCAATAAATAGTGAAATATATTTTCAACTCATGTAACTAACACTCAAATACAATTATTTGTGTATATTTATATATATATATGAGTATATTTATTTGTGTATATATATATATATATTCACAAAATATCTTTTCATAAAAACGGGCCTTTCAAAAAATAATTTATCTTTTAATCGGACCCTTCACAAATTTGTTTATCTTCATTATTGTTTTGTTAATCGGATAAACCCTTTTACCGTGCTTCTAAAACTTGCCGATGATATGCTTCAACTTGAAAGGAAACATTGTGCAATTTAACATCTCATTAAGGTTGCAGCTAAATTTGCACCGCATCATGGTTTAAGACAGCCATATAATGGTTTAAAGTTCAATCGATTTTACCGAGAATGTACCATTATACTCAAGATCACCAGATTTATGCCCGTATAATTTTATCTTTTCTCGCATTTTTCATGATCTGAATTTTTAAGTATTTTCACTTTTGAAATACTTCACCTTCCTTCTACAATAATTCTGATTGTTCTTATCTCCCTTAACCTAGAGACAAAGTGTGTTGTCACACTTACCGTCATCTTCGTAAGCACTGCTTACAGCTGCGCTGCTTCCTCGATCTTTTAGCATAGGGAAAGATGGCCAGGAGTCTTGATGACACTGTATCATGCAGCACCATAGCCAGATGCACGTGAACACGAGCCACAGATTGTTTGACATCGCTTACACACACATCGACTCCTTCAGACTAGATAATGCCACCGGTTGGCGGTCCATAATAGAGAGCTTTCGGACGCTTCCATAGATACAAGACTGGAGATCCTAGAAAAGACAAAAAAAACAATTAAGTTATAAAACGAGCACGAAAAAATTAGCAATACCAATAAATACGTATATTAAATAGCATAATATTCAATAACAAGCACAGAACAATTATATCATCAACAACAAAAAATTCAAGTAATAAGTCATTGTTCAAAATTTGGCAGCTCCACAACGTTTTACAGTTAAGATTCGTGGTTAATGACTTCGATCATGGCGTGCTAATCTACCCAATAATTTCAACATGAACTGCAAGCTCTGGCGATTTTGTTCACCGCAGATGTGACAATGCGATGTCACTTTATGAGTATACACATTACACATAATAATTTAATGATTTCGAAAAGGGGGATTTTTAATGGAAGATCCCATGGAATTATAATTTTTTTTTAAAACCCTGAGGGCCTCTCTCAAATTATACATATTGTAAGCCAATTGGAAAATCTGGAGCATCGTTAATCGTTGCCGCTATTTTTAAATGCGATTTAAACATATATAAAGGACATATAGAGAGAATTAATGAGAACAGGAGCTCAAAAAAAATCTTTAAAGGCGAATGCCATGGTCAACAAAAACGGGGAAGGCTGATGAAGAGGTGGATGGATAAGGTAGAGAAGAATAAGATGAGGTGGAGAGAGATCTCAAGACCTTAAAAATAAAAAATTATGAAGCAAAAATACGAGACAAAAAGCCTTGGAATAGAATTGTTAGGGAGGTCATGGGTCCAACACAGATTGTAATACCAGGACGCAATCACCTTAAATAGATGTTCTAAGGCTGACAATAAATATCATTTCTTCCTCAACGAGCCTGATTTATCTCAGGCCGTTTGCAATGAACCCATATACTTTTAAGGTAACAAGTAAAATATTATTCATTGTTTAATTAATCAAAATCACTATACTTTCTTTATACAAAATGCATAGCAATAAGCCAAAAACAATTTCATCTAGTCGCTGGAATAGAAGATATTTAACTTTTCAGAGAAATGAACGAGAAAATTTCGAACTCAAATAACAGAAAAATTAACTAACAACATATATACATATATGCACATATATACAACATATAATCGCATAAGACAACACATATAAGAAAGGTGCCTAATATGTAATAGTTCCCTTTGCTGCACTGCTATTGTAGCTAGATGATAGAATCATATAAAACATATGTGAAGATTGCATGAAAGCGACAGTGAAAAAGCGTTCAAATGGCTTCTATTTCAATAGCCTTCAATTAACAGAAGACTTCTATTGGCTGTAAAGCGAGCATGATGGTTCTTAAAAAAAATACACCTTTTCTAGAGTTTTCAGATTGTTAAAATTTTTATTTATTTATTTATTTGAAATAGTTTAGCAAATCTTTTGAGTTTAGCAAATTTAACAGATCCCTAATAAATAATACGTAGCACCAGTCACATATTACGTTAGACATAATAATAAAGAATATAATAATAGTTATGTTCTTATCTTAATTTCTGAAGAACTGCTTCATGTTAGGAGCATTTTCCTTACGTCAAAACGTAATTCTACTAAATTTATTTTAATCACAAACATTCTCAAAACAAACCTGTTTAATATTACTTTTGATTTTGCTTCAAGAAACAAAATGATCCAACTCAACGGTTAACAATACAAAGTAATTAGTCGGGTAGACATACAATCAAATAAAAGGAATCAATTATTCTGAGAGCAGGGATTCTTTTTTTTTAAAAAAATGGTGCACATGTTTAACTCAATAACATTTAAAAATAAAAATATATAATTCAATAATTTAAATCAATCAACAGATTTCCCGCTTCTCTCAGCTTTTAAGTGCCTTCTATCATCCAGTCCAACTTTTTGTTTTATTTTCTTGTCTAGGATTTTTAGATTTGATATTCAGACAAGACGAAGTGTGACTTGCGTAAACACACTGTCTACTTCAAACGAATTGCAAATGATAGACTTCTTCTATCTTAGGTTGCAAGGAAAAGAGTGGCGACTGTTGTTGCGATCTCGGGAAAAATATTAATTAAAAGCCTCAATGGTTTTATCGAATGGGTGACACTAATTTAATTTTGAAACATCAAAATACGTTTTTGTGCGGACAAAAAGTAGGTTGTTTCATTTAACAGTTAAAGAATGTGATAGATATAGAATGCAAAAAGGATACTGATAGACGATATCAATCAAGGAATAATCACAATTACTCTGCAAATCAGTGAAATCCCTCCCAAAAAACTATTTTTAATTGGAATTTGAATTTAATATTTTTTTTTATTTGGTTATAAATAAACGCAAAATTAAATTCAAATAATCATGAAAACATTTCTAGCAAAAAATGTTTAAAACAGTCATTCACGAAGTTGGTCTAATTTTGCGTAACCATTATTTTTTTTTTTTTTTTTTTTTTTTAGTTGTTACTAATATTTCTACAAATATAATAATAAAATATGGCCATCATTCATAGCAAATATCAAAAATATGGCCATCAAATTTTTAAAAAAATTTAATGGAATTATTTATAACTGAAATGTTTCACGGATCAAAAACTTGATGTCTGTGAAATTATCAAGAGGATTAATAAAGAAATTAAAAGAATAGAAATCAGCATTTTTGCCGATATGAAAAGGGGGAAAAAAAGTATTGCTGAAAGCAATGTGGAAAAAACCCACTGAGACGGAGTTCCTTCCCCCAACCCGGTTATTTAAAATTAACAAATATTAATAACGAATAAACAATAGGGGCCGTTCAAAAAGTACGTACACAAAAATGGAGAAATTCTAATACCCTCCCCCCCTTCGTACATTACCGTACATAAGGTCTTACTCCCCCCCCCTTAGAGTAGGTACATTTTATTAGTCTACCCCGATTTTTCATAAAATTTAAAATAATTATGTTTTAAATAAAATTAAATATTTATTTAAAATAATTTATTCATTTAAATTATTTAAACAATAACACCCNACCCCCCCCCCCCCCCCTATCGCACGAAACCGAACAAAATAGCCCCTTCGGGATGTACGTACTTTTTGAGCGGCCCCATACTAATAACGAATAAACAACGCAAATAATTAATAAAATTTAAATTATGAAACAATAAAATTACGATGCAAAATCGAAGATCACATGAATGAATTATTTCAACTAATTACCACACCCAGCGTTATTTGATGTCTTATATTTATGAACAAATTATTTCATTTATTTAAAAAAAAAAAAAAAAGCAAAAAAGAAACTGAAGGATGTCATTTATTCAAAGAAATTTAATGTCATAACATTTTTCTGCGTGCATAAAGAGAAACTTATATGTAGAAAAAGGAATTAAGTTAAGCCCTGACTTCAGTTTAAAATTTTATTTCATTGTTACAGCTGGTAGAAACGACATAATTTTCAGTCAACAAGGTCACGGGTATAGCAAAACAAGCAAATAGAGCTCTTTCTTTTCTTTTTTCTGTTTCTTTCTTCTTTTTTTTCTTTCTTTTTCAATTCAGATAAATTTTAGTCTGGATTATCAGTTCTTCTGCAATCGTTATTTAGTTTCACCACTGCTGTTTTGGTTTATTTTTAACTGGGCGACGACTGAGCGTTAAAAAAAAAAGAAGAAGAAAACAATATACATTTTAAGACGAAAACTACTTTAAGGTGTAAGAAGATTGAGAGTAAAGGGTGGAGCTAAAAAGAAGGGAAGTTCTCTCACTGGCTATTGTTAAAATGCTTTGTTTAAATTATGAGGAAAGGACAAAATAAATATTTAGAAGTTTTCAGAAACTATATCGTAAGCATTCTTAAAATATCCTTTATTAGCTCAAAATATCTGAGTTTTTCCAGGAATAAACAACAAATTTGGAATGAAATTAATTTACCTTTCCAATAAAATTACATAGAATTACAAACCACTTTAGCATAGCCCTTTCATTAAACAATAATAGTATCACATCAGGGCATTTAATAGTTCCAAAATCGTCGGAAACTATAAAACCAAAAACTATAAAATAATATTTCCAAAAATACAATTTATTATGGAGAACAAATAATGGTTGACTGAATGAGGATGGTTCAATTTCAGAAATAAAAAAAAATGGCGCAGGCTGAAAGCACAGTTTACACATGCTAGTTTAAATAATTCCATGGAATGGTCTCGGCTTGACGTACAGTAGTAAACAATGTTCTAAAGTTTTCTACTGCACTTAAACAGCTCCATCTGTTGACAAACAGTATAACTAATAATGATGACAAATACCTAAGATTTCTAGATGAAAATCATTCTACCCATTTCTTCCTTTCTTTTTTTATTTATTTCTCAAGCTATCGCTTGCTTATTTTAAGTATACCTGATACAAAATACGAAATATTATTGAAAAGTAGCAATTACAGAAAATAATCACTATTTGATAAATTTGTTATAAATTTTATTAAAAGTTCTCGATATGAATCTATTTTTTAAAAAAGAAAAAACGTTTATGATCTTTCCGTAATAAGAATTAAATTGTAAAAAAAAAATATTACTAGAAAGTGGAAATAGCCAAAATTATTAATTAGAATAATTTTATAAACAATATTATTGAGATAAGAAAAATAACTTTAAGTTAAACTAAATAAATTTTTGTAAACTATGATTATTTAGGCAAAAGCAGTTCCAATGCCAACAATAAGTTGAAACACACTATACAAATTTGTGTTTCATCATTATACTGACAACACAACAAAAATTTCAAGTAGTAATTAAGAGTTTCTCAGAGAATTCCAGTAGTTTCCTGTTTCCAGAGAATGTTTTCAAACATTGATGTTTTCAAATGAGTAAACAAGGAAGAGAAATGTGGTAAAGCACACTTTAAATCAAAATACCATTGCCACTTATTGTTTTTGTAACTCGCTAGAATATAACGCTTATAAAAACAGGAAACAAAACCAAATTTATTACAACAGCAAATACATAACGATTTCACAAAATACCAAAAAATGAAAGCATTTATCGTGAACAAGACATTCTTTTTATAAGTCTATAAATATGAAAGAGAAAAAAATACGAACGCAACCCTAAAAAATGAATAACATTATTTTATTTCTTTGAAGAGTAAAACACGGGATCGAGGTTAACAAACTCTTACACAAATATTTACTTTACTTTTGAATGTTTACGTTTTGCTATGAAGATACGGAAAAAACTGCTAATAAAATAAAATAATTGTGTTCTTTTGATTTTTCCCTAGTAATTAACAAAAATACAGAATACATTGTTTTGGAAAAAGTTAATAAGTTAAGTTCCTTTAAAACTAATTTAATTTCATTAGTATAATTTATTTGGCAATTTTGAGAAACGGCAAAAACTATGCCCTTAATAAACTTTGTTCAGTATTTTGTCGCTTATGTCGAAGTATATTAACAATGTAGATTAAAATAATGTATAATAATCATAGGTTTTATTTAGCAGCTTTTTTTATAATAATGAGTATCGGATTTTTTTTAATAATTTTGTTTACCTCTTATTTACCCTTTCAAACACGATTCTACATTCTAAGAAACCCATACAGGAAGCAAAATTGAAGCAAGGCATTATACCGGAATAGCTAACTTCTCATGGCAAATTCTAAGAGTAAACCATTATGTTTTAAATGCGGGGACAAAATGGTCTCAAAACATATAATACAAATTATCGCAGGATAATTTGTTTAAGGATAATTTGTTAAAAAGTTTAAGCATGAACTGGGCCTCAAATTTGTTTAGCCATTTGCAGATAATTTGTTTGTGCGTAAAAGTGCCGTACTTAGTTTGCATTTTGATATTTTGAAGAAAAAAAATTTTTTTTATCATTTGAAACTTTATGGTTTATTCTAGGTTTACCTGATCTCATTTTTTTAAAAATTTAAATTACTTACGTAAAGTGAAACAGAATTTGTCATGAAGAGTTTCTCCCGCGGTATATCGTCCTCATAGTATATCAGTTCAGTTTTTCAAAAGAAGAAATTTGTGAAAGATCCGATTTTAAGAAAAAATAGTTTGTAAATTTAAGAAAAAATAGTTCGTAAAGGATGCGATTTTCCGAAGAATCAGTTATCGAACCCAAATTTTATTTAATTGACCTCTGATAGGTTTCGAGAAACGGACCACCGTCTCTTTCAACTAACTCATCACGATCAAGCACGACAATAATTCAGAAGGATCGGTCAGTTTCTGTGACCTATATTTATTTCCTTTTTTAAATGATAATAATAATAATCTTGTTTATCTCCTTCAACCCTTTAAATACGATTATACATTCTTAGAAACCCCAGTCAGTAAGCAAAATTGAAGAAAGGAAAAATATTTAAGGCTGTTTTTCGAAGGCTCCGACGTCATATGGAATTATGCTTTTTAGCGAATAATGCGTTTTTCGAAGGCTTCATCGTCATATGGAATTATGCTTTTTAGCGAATAATGCGTTTTTCGAAGGCTCCATCGTCATATGGAATTATGCTTTTTAGGGTATAATGTTCTGTTTTCATAACTGCTCTGAGTTTGCAACAGTCACTCATGGACTGCTGGGTCAAGTTCAGCCCGACTGTCTAAAGCCGGCGTTCTCTCTGCATATTCTGAAAACGGAGCAAAACGTCAAAATCGAGAAAAGCAGAAAAGCCAAAGTTTTGTAAAAATTGAAAGCGTTTGTCGTTTAATTTTCTAATATTTAAAAGTGCACTCTTAAAGCTGCATTATCTGAGCTCATAAAAATTTTAAAAACCCTGAAAATAAGGCAGTGATTTTGATTAAATTTCATCTAGGTGGAAAAAATTTCAATTTTTAACAAAAAAAAGGCAACTTTTTAAAATATTTTAAATTATTTGTCCATTCTAAAGCACAGATAATTCTCCACGGCAAGATTATAAAGTTTAAAATCATTGATTTGCTGTTCTAGTGTAAAGCACTTAAACTGTAGTTTTTTTTGTTTTTTTTTTAATTTTATTTTCCTTGGCGACAGATTTTGGAAAAACCATGAAGGCAGATATCATTTAGTGAGATTTTTAAATACATGGGAGGGGTCTGCTTAGAATAAATTTGGGTCCGTTAACGGACCCTTCACAAAATATCTTTTTATAAAAACGGACCCTTCACAAAATATCTTTTTATAAAAACGGACCCTTCACAAAATATTTTAACTTAAAAACGGACCCTTCACAAATTTGTTTATCTTCATTATTGTTTTGTTAATCAAATAAGGAAAGAAAGACAGATGTAAACTAACTAAATTTTGTCTTCGGCAGACGCTTCTTCCTTTATTCGTCCGAAATGAATATTCTGCGTTCAGCAGTATAGGCTGAATACCAAATATTTGTATGTTGCATCTCTAATTTAGTAGCAGCAATTGATTTTTATGTTTTAAAATTAAATTTTTTTTAGTATAATTTTACAGTGTTGAGCATAATCTTGTATCTCTTTACAATTTAAAAACTTCGTGAAAAAGTTTTTAGTAATAACAGGACCCTATTGCACAAATTCACAAAGCAGGACCCTGGTTGAAAGAATGTGACTTAAGGTTTATTTTATATTCACACATTACGAGTAATTTTTTCACAATTTTACACAATTACTCCCTACTTTCACAAAATGTAAGGACAGACCCCTGCATGGGAAATGCAAACAAGAAACTAAACAAGAACTAAAACAAGAAAGAAAATATTTAAGTTGTTTAACGTTTATTTTATATTCACACATTACGAGTAATTTTTTCACAATTTTACACAATTACTCCCTACTTTCACAAAATGTAAGGACAGACCCCTGCATGGGAAATGCAAACAAGAAACTAAACAAGAACTAAAACAAGAAAGAAAATATTTTAGTTGGGAGGAAGAAAAGGTACTTAAGGTAGTTAATGATTTTTTACGGATGAACGGCTAGAATGAAACATTGTTGCAGGAACAAAAGGTTAAATGACCAAACACAAGAGGTGAAAAGAAGGGGGGGGGAGAGAAAACCAGTTTACTTGGGTTGATCCGTACGAATGGAAAAGCGTCTGAAATATAAAAAAAAGGATTACAAAAGAATTTGAAATTGATCAAAAGCTAGTTAGTTCTAAGTTTATTTATTTACTTTTATTTCTTTATTTACTTTGATCGGAAGAGGTAAAGGGCAGAACCGAATAAATCTCTGCCAAGATCAAAGAAAAGTTCATCGGTATATCCGGTAGTGAAAGCGTAACCAAATTCCTGATAAGCGGTGAGCTGCGAAAGAAAAAGACATTCTGAAATTAAATAAACATCTGAGTAGAAAAATTTTATAAGACGGACCACTCTTTAAAAAAAGAGATGATTTATTTTTATTTATTTTAATTATCGCTAAAAGCGATTTCAGAGTATTATTTTTAATTAGACGGAGCTACATGAGAGCCGTCTGTCATTGTGGAAGTTACAAAATCTTCTGCCGGTTGGGGTGCTGACGCGCATGCGCGCCAACAACATCAATATGACAGACGACATAGAATGAAATAAAAAGAAAAAAAAAAGTTTAGCGCTGAAAGGTCAGTGACTTTTTGGATACGTAAATAGAAGATTTCGCTGGCAGTCCTATTCTTTCGTGGTAGTTTTAAATCATAAAAAAGCGCAGAAGAGGAATCAGAATGAAAAAGAAAACCGATTAAAAATTGTTCTAACATGAATGTACACTTAACAGACTTCGGGAGACCTAAATTAATGTAACAAATATCAAAGAAAAAATTCTGGTCGTCGACCCCATACCAGAAAGTATGATTTTATAAACACCTTCATTTAATTATCAGGGGTCAGTCCAGGCATTTAGTGAAAGGTCCTTTCTGTAAAATTGTGAAAAAATTACTCGTAACTTGTGAATATAAAATAAACGTTAAGTCACATTCTTTCAACCAGGGTCCTGCTTTTGTGAATTTCTGCAAATAGGGTCCTGTTATTGCAAAAAAAACTTTTTCAAGGAGCTTTTAAATTGTAAAGACATACAAGATTATGCTCAGCACTGCAAAATAATAATTAAAAAAATTAAATTTTAAAAAATAAACAGCAATTGCTGCTACTAAATTAGAGACGCAACATACAAATATTTGGTATTCAGCCTATACTGCTGGACGCAGAATTTTCATTTAGAACGAATAAAGGAAGAAGCGTATGCCGAAGAAAAAACTTAGTTCGTTTACATCTGTCTTTCTCCCCCCCCCCTTCCTAGGGTTTATTTGATTAAGAAAACAATAATGAAGATAAAAATATTTGTGAAGGGTCCGTTTTTAGGTTAAAATATTTTGTGAAGGGTTCGTTTTTATGAAAAGATATTTTGTGAAGGGTCCGTTAACGGACCCAAATTTCTTCTAAACTGACCCCTGATTATAAATTAAACAACATTAAACAATTCACCTATTTTCGGACTTATAAATTCACTATTCCCACTAACGGATTCTGGTCTCTACATCATTCTCTTTTTTTTTTTATTAGAGAGATTTAGCATTTTCACGTAATAGTGTTTAGCAGAAGTTTTGTTCCGAATTAAGACTAAAATACTTCAGGTCAGTAGATAATTCAGTGTAAGTATGTAAGTTGACGTGAGAGATAATACGTTAAAGTGCTGAATTTCTCTATAAAATGATTTCGTAAGGAATTGAACAAAATGAAGGCAAAAAAAGGAAGTCAATTTTCAAGGAAACATTAAATGACGTATGATTATAAAATTAAAAAGCAACTCATATGAACAAGCATGGGGAGAGGTATGAAAATCTTTTTGTTATAAACCAGGTATGATGCTTAAGATTTTACCCACCAAGAAAAATTTTAATTATTATTTTATTAATTAATTTATTCATTTTCAATTTTGAAACTTGAAATTGTATTAGAATAAAACCAACCAGAACATCTCATTAACACACGCGAAAATTATCAGTCTTTCCTTTATTATCTTTTATCTAAAGTTTATTATTAATTTTTCATGCTTAGGTTCTTATTTTATTTTTTCAATTAAAACAGTTATTTAATTCATTTATTTAAATTTTAAATTACTACAAATTAATTTCATTACTTAATTTAATTATTTCTATTTGTTGATTTTAACCTTTGAAAGTTTTTTTTTTTACAATTCTAAATTAACACAAGTTTACCTTGATATTAATTCCAATGTCAATAGTGTTGCTAACGATCATTATCATTTTTAAAAACACATGAAAATTATTATTATCAGTTTAGTCTGACATAGTCAGAATAATTGCATCGATTAAATTCAAGTTATTCAGCAATGGTGAAATATTTGTTCAGAATAAATCCTGAATAAATAATAGAATTAGAATTAATTCTGAATACAGAACCCAATTAACCCTGAAAGAGCTCTGAAAAAACACCCAGTAGGATGGAATTTTTTTTAATATTATTATTTATAGCCCTGGGCCATAGCTTTACACAGCTTTGCATACTGATTAATTCGTCAAGATATCAAAGACAAATATTCTCTTAACAATTTGATTACAATAAAAAAAGAAACGTTAAAACAAGGGAAGAAAAATATTAAATAAAGTGATAGCTTAATCCGTTAGTTTATATAATTCTGAATTAAATAGAAAGGATATTGACCTGACACAAATATATTAACGCTACTCATGCTTAAAAATAATAAATTCCTGATATTCAATCGGAGGATTTTTTTTATTTTATTTAAAGATTGATAGTTATAAGCTCATATTTTGAGATTTTATAAAGAAACAAAAACATATTGAATAATAATTGAGCGACTACGAAGGGAGGGGAGGGGTTAGCGTAAGTCTCCAGACAGAGATCTGTGAATGAACCGTCTGGAGTAGTAAGAGGGTATAAGAGTAACGTGCGCGGTCAACGACTTTATAAAACCGACCTTCGGTTACGAAGAATGTTGAAAATGAGTGAAATAGCGACTAATTGCTTTCATTCACACTTGTTTCTGAATAACGATGATAAACGCTAAATATAAATCTCACGATTTACATGAAAACTAATTGGGGATGGGTAAAATATTCGAACCTATTCTCATCAGAGCTCGACTTAAAAAGGGGTTTTAATTACATAATACAATTTTTATTACTCACTTACGTCGATCGGTACAGATAACGTTCGATTGTTATGCTCACATTAATAGTCCCCTAATTTTGACCACAACCCAGAAGCCGGTATTCCCGCATGTATCCAGAGCATTGCGTACATTACAGGTAGTAGTTAACCCTTTGACGCAGATGGTACATCGGTGTCACTTCTGCATTTTTTTTTTCTGATAATAATTATAAGAGAAAATATACTTTCTATATTTTTTTTGCCATAAATAATAGTCCAATAGCAGGGGTCTGTTTAGAAGAAATTTGGATCCGTTAACGGACTCTTCACAAAATATCTTTTCATAAAAACGGACCCTTCACAAAATGATTTTTCTTTTAATCGGACCCTTCAAAAATTTGTTAATCTTCATTATTATTTTTTTAATCGAATAAATCCTTTCCAGGGCAGAAAACAAGAAAGATGGATGTAAACGAATTAAGTTTTATCTTCGGCAGACGATTCTTCCATTATTCGTCCGAAATGAATATTCTGCGTTCAGCAGTATAGGCTAAATACCAAATATTTGTATGTTGCATCTCTAATTTAGTAGCTGCAATTGCTGTTTATTTTTTAAAATTTAATTTTTTTAATTATAATTTTACAGTGTTGAGCATAATCTTGTGTGTCTTTACAATTTAAAAACTCCCTGAGAAAGTTTTTTTGCAATAACAGGACCCTATTTGCATAAATTCACAAAAGCAAGACCCTGGTTGACAGAATGTGACTTAACTTTTATTTTATATTCACAAGTTACGAGTAATTTTTTCACAATTTTACAAAAACGGACCTGTCACAAAATGTCTGGACAGACCCCTGAATAATAACAAAAAAATCGGTTAGGTTATCGGAATTATATTTGCACTAAAATATAAAATTCAAAAATAGAAGTAGTTAGAAATTTTTTTTTTCTCCCCTTTATTCGGTTTCAAAAGTTTATCGATACTTGATCTTGTAAATTAAAAAAAATTCAATAATCAATAAGTTTCTCTTAGATCTAAATAAGTACAAATTTGAAAAATTATTGTTTGGTAGTGAGCCGTGTTTGGAATATTTTATCTTTGACGCAGAAAAAGATACCGGCATTTCATGCTACATTTCATAACCATAAAATTATTAAAATGCTGAAATATAGTATTTTTCACTTATTTTGCCCTGAATTAATACAAAAATAATGCAAAAATATATTTAGTAAAAATTCTGCGTCAAGAGGTTATTCACTACAGACATTGAACGCTCTCCTAAAAATTTAAAATCTAGTGACTAATAAAAAGTCACAAATCAGTCAGCAAAAAAAAAAAAAAAAAAAAAAAAAAAAAAAAAAAAAAAAAAAAAAAAAACCCTCAAACTAGTAATATTTCCTTACTTATTTTCTTTCGGTTTATTTTTAAAAACTTGACTTAAGACTTTATTGAGTTAAGCACTTTTCAGTTAAGAAATTCAACAATGTTATACCAAATAATTAAAAAAAAAAAAAAAAAAAAAAAAAAAAAAAAAAAAAAAAAACTAATTAAATATTCATTACGCGTAATATAAAAACCAGGCATATCAAACCATAATATAAAAACCAGGTAGACCGTGATACGTACCAAATCGTAATATAAAAACCAGACACAAAACATCTTCACTAAGGGAAGCAAGCCCTGCTCGCTGCGCTCGCCAACTCTCTAAAATGCTTTCGCAGTTCGTTTCGGAATGTTACGACATTATACACTTGTTTTCTTTTTTTTCCTCCTTCTAGTTCAAAATGAATGATAGCACTTCTTTTATTTAAAATGCGGTTCAACAGATATGCAACCTAAGCTTCCAGTGAAACGTTTGATTTTGATCCATTTCTATCAATTTGTATACATTACGATTAAATGAATATACACTTCCATGCTTGATGGAAATTGCTTCGAAACAAATAGTTCATAGTAAACCTGAAAGTAACCACTAGCCACTCGTCACGTGGCAAGTCAATAAAAAAAAGTGCGACCTAAAATTAAATTAACACATCACTTTTTCTGATCGTTTTTTTCTTCGCTCCTTCCTTTCCTTATGAAATTCGGAGCTCATTGCTAAATATGTTTTCATGTTAACCTTAGTCATTTTAAGAATAAGTCTAATAAAAATTGTTTATCAAACATAAAATATGGGCTGTACAAACGAAGTAA